TCTTTTATTTAGGGGAGGCGAGAAGTCTGAAAACAGTGGAAAGAAATAATGGTTACAAGTCTGGGGTTCTGCTTTCACTTGATGTGCAGAAATCTAAGTTCTTGCTCTGCCTTGAAGAATCTAAAACGGCGGCGGGTGGGGGGGGCACCTGGCTGGCTGAGTGGGTTAAGCGTCTGCCTTTGGCTCAGGTCATGATCTCTAGGTCCTAGGATTGAGCCCCGTGTGGGGTTCCCTGCTCCGCCAGGAGCCTGGCCCTCTCTCTCTGCCCCTCTCCCCTGCTTGTGCGTTCTCTCTCTCTCTCTCTCTCTCTCTCTCTCTCTCTCAAATAAAAACATTTTTTAAAAAAAGAGTCTAAAAGTGGAAATCCACAGTGCTGTATGATGAGCATGATTCATGCGGTGGCAGAGATGAGGAACGAACGTCTCCCCGTGCAGTTAGGCTCCGGCGTTAAGTCCTTGGCGGTCATTCTGTTCTCTAAGGTTGCAGCAGTGCAGAATTAGTGATTATCAAACCGTCGTTTCTAGAGGAAACACAGGGTCAGCTTCCTGCGGGCCTCTGCTTGCATTTTCATCAGCTGATCCATACAGATCCTGGTGTTATGTTTTCTGTTTCAAGAAATCTTACTCTGTGAATAGTGCTGACTCGGGAACAGTGTACCCCCCGCCCCCAGCGCCGAAACCGGTGCCCGGATGAAGCTTGTCCGATGCACATCACAGCCTCTGGTGCTCACGCACACCCCAGGCGGCTCTTCAGTACTATGCTTGGAGGCCGTCCTCAGCCACCAAATCACCAACGAGAGGCACAGAAATGCTGGAAGTATGGCACCAAGTAGACGGCGGGAGGGACACCTTACAGTCTGAGCTGGAGCAGGACGGCAGAGCAGTGTCGCCTTGGTCAGCCGCAGCCGGGAATACACAGGCCTCGGTGGCTCCACTTTGTCACCTTTCTGTGCACGTCCTCAGGTGCACCATGAGTAGGGACAAGGTTTATAGATACGTGGTAGCGAGTTGGCAAATTGACAAATACAGAATCCACCAGTAATGAGGATCGACCCTGCCTGAGGTTAGATAAAGTAGTTAATGTAGGGGGTGACTTTCTTTTGCTGCACGCTGCACCTGAACCTCCTACCTGACTCTGGTCCTTGAGCCCCTCCTCTGCAAGGTGCAGTGAAGCTTTCACAGGGAAAGCTGAGCGGGGACCCAGGGCCGGCTTCCAGGTGTGACTGATCACACGCTCGCTGATGCTTCCTAGTGCTACCTCCCAGGGTTGTCAGGAAGAATGAGTTTAGGTATTTGTTGTGACAGCCCCATATCCGGGACAGCGCCCGGTGCTGGTCTGCAAACATCCTACACAAGATGTATGTAGTCGGTGCCAGCTATTGGAAGGAGCAAGTAGTACAGACTCCAGGTGCAGAGTGCTCGCGAGTGGCAACCCCCTCGGCACCTGCCCTTGCACTTCGTCACTCTCTCTCTCATTCCCGCCTTCCAGGGAAGGCACAGAGCAGCTCCCGTGTTGCGCAGCTTCCCAAACCTCACCTGGCTTGTGGCCAGTACGGGACAGAGGGAAAGAAGCCGGGAGAGAGAATGTCGGAATCCTCTCCGGTTCACAAAGGGCCAGGCCACATGAGGCCACTGGCTTGACCGCCCAGCCTGCCCGGAGTGGCTCACTCTGCCTGCACGTAAACCCCAGCTGGGGGGCCTTCCTGAGCCCTGGGCTCGGTGCCTCCCTCCAACCCCAGACCCCTCTACCTTTTCCCCAGAGAGAGGCTCAGATAGTCTCATAGGTTTGCTGGGGAAACCCAGCTTCGCTTCACCCCTGCCATGGTGACACTTGGGGTAAGGGTTTCCCTTCTGTAGTTTTTATAAATTCACACACACACACACACACTTCTGCTGCAAATAGTGCTTTAGACGTCGTTGAAGCTCAGAAAAAGAGGCAAAAGGTCAGCTCACTCTCATTAGCCATTTATATATATTCTTTAATTTATTCATGAGAGGCAGAGACCCAGGCAGAGGGAGAAGCAGGCTCCCTGTAGGGAGCCCGACGTGGGACTCAATCCCAGATCTCTAGGATCACACCCTGAGCCAAACGCAGATGCTCAACCGCTGAGCCCCCCAGGTATCCCTCCATCTGTAATTAGATGTTTCTCCCTCTTTTTTTTAAGCTGTTTCTCTCTTATATGCATATTAGGAACATTTTAGACATATGCACGAGTAGAGAGCACAGTAATGAACCCCCGTGCTCCCCAGTTTCAGGAATTCCCATCTCACGGCCCGGCCCTTCACATTTCATCTCTTCTCCCATCCCACATAATTCCAAAACGAGTCCCAAGCATCACATTCCACTTACCAATATTTCACTACGTAGCTGTAAAGGAGAGGGGGACTTTTAAAAAAAATGCACAACCAGAAGACGACCACAGCTTAGAAAAGTTAGTAATGATTTCTATCGTCCAGTGTGTGGTCAGTGTTAAATTTCCCCAGTGCAGACGTTCTCCCCAGGGTCAGTGGAGAGCTTCCAGCCGACCGACCGCCGGGGTGGTGATGGGTGGTGATGGGGTAGGGGTGACGACGAGCATGCAGTTGAACTGGAGTCTGGGCGGGGGCAGTGACAGAGCTGCTGTGGGGCCTTGACGTTGCAGCCCCTCCAACAGACAGCAGGGCTCTTGAGCGTGCTCTGGCTGGAAAGAGAAGTTCTCTTGAGAGGCTGCAGCCGTGCTGTGTCCCTCCTTGCCTTTCTCAGGCCTGGGACTCAGCCCTCTGGGTGCTCAGGCCAGGCTTCCCTGTGATTGGGCCACCCCTCCGCCCACCCCCACCCACACCTGAGGGTGCTCTGGGTTCCCTGGGGCCTTCATCCCAGGTAGGGGTCCAAAGACAGTTCCCTCAGAGAGACATGTGTTTGAGTGGCTCGTGGGAACCCAGTGTGCTAAGTTTAATGGAACCACAACGGGAGGGAATCCTAATGGCAAGATGTGGCCGAGGTGGTGCTGGGGACAGAAGAGGTTGGACACACAGTAGGGCCTGGCCTGGCCGGCCTGCCGCAGCACCATAAGGAGAGCAGAGGTGCACAGACTCGGCACGGCGTTCGTCACTAGAGGGAAATGAGCTCCGCTGCTTCGTGGGTGACTTATTATCCCTTTTTTTCCCCCCGAGAAGAATTTCAAAGCAGAGAGTTTCTGCCAAGGTGCCTGCAGTTGTAAATTGGGGTCGGCCGTCCTCCCTGCGCCGAGACCCACGTTTGTTCCCTGCAGAGCCCTGAAAGGACCTGCCTGAGGGGTTTTGTGAGAGCCACGTGCATTGGTATGCACAGGTATTTGGAAAGGTGCGAGGCCCACAGCACCGTCCAACAAAGCCTGCTGTGGTCGTAGAAACACAGAAATGCGTTAGGTCTGCTCTACCCGGTGCCACTGTTGAAATGAGAGGAACGTAACTGGGGAAATTTCAATTAATTTGAATAGTCACATGTGGCTCCAGTGGCCAGTATATCCAGTACCAGTCCAGGGGGTGCTCTTAATACCATAATGATTGGGAGTTGTCGGATGGTTTTCAGTCAGGACCCAGGAGGTGACACTGGTATGAAGAGCGGAGGAAGCATCATAAAATGTCTTCAAGCGCGGTGCCCGGGTGGCTCAATCAGTAGCTCTCAATTTAGGCTCAGATCATGATCTCTGGGTCATGAGATCGAGCCTCACATGAGGCTCTGTGCTGGGCGTGGAGCCTGTTTGAGATTCTCTCTCTCCCTCCCCCTCTAAAAAAAAATTTTTTTTTTTTAAATAACAAAATGCATTTGTTTCACATCTTTGTGGCTCAGGACAGTTAAGGTGCAGGTCGTCTCTGAGGTGGAGAGCGCTGATCTTCAGATGGACTGCATCTGTGGGAGTCTTTCGAGGAAAAGGCAACAGCATCATAACAGGTGTGGGTGGAGGACAAACAGGGTTTATGTTTGATCTTTGCTTCGTGCTAGCTGTGCCACCTCGGCCATGTTGCTTATGATTTTTGAGCCTCGGTGTCCCTGCCTATAAAACAAAAGTCACAAGGGGCACCTGGGTGGCTCAGCGGTTGAGCATCTGCCTTTGGCTCAGGCCGTGATCCCAGAGTCCCAGGATCGAGTCCCACATCGGGCTCCCCGCCGGGAGCCTGCTTCCCCCGCTGCCTGTGTCTCTGCCTCTCTCTGTGTCTCTCATGAATCAGTTAAAAAATAAAAATAAAAATGAAAGGATGCCCACCTGCCTGCGAGGGGCATGGTTGGTGCCCCTGCAGGATGCTTTGCTCTTTAGTGTAGGAGCAATGGTGGTTTTTCAGATCACGATGCTTAATAATATCAGAATTAAATACATAGTCAGTGTCTTGTGCTACTAGTTCGGTTGGAGAACTTGATTATCATTTCATCCTCTTCCTTTCATCCCCGTCAGAGACGGGGGATGCTGTAGAGTGCGTGCAAATGTGTGCTATTTGACTTTTTAAGCACTTATGATAATTAGAATCTGTGCAGCGAAGGGTGGGAGAGACACCTTCGAAATGACCGTCTGTGCTGCGTAATTCAGGTAAGAACAAGTAAGCCTGCAGCAGTGGCCTCAGGTTCCCAGCTGTCTTACCGGACATACCTCCCTGTTCTGTCTGCAAAGATTGCGTATCCAGAAGTTGGTGAAATATAATCTTTTTTTTAAAGGAAGCGTTTTCTCGGTGCTAACCATGAGCAGAGAGGCTTCTTGGTATCCTGTCATTTTTGTTTCAATTGAGATGAAGCAACAAAATACAGTGCGCAGGGATCCCTGGGTGGCTCAGCGGTTTAGCGCCTGCCTTTGGCCCAGGGCGCGATACTGGAGTCCCGGGATTGAATCCCACGTCGGGCTCCCGGCATGGAGCCTGCTTCTCCCTCCTCCCCCCACCCCCCTGTCTATCATAAATAGAATAAATCTTAAAGAAAAAATACAGTGCGCTACTGGACAAGCAGAAACTCTGAGCGGCCCCCTTATATCCTGTCCCGTTTTTTTCTGCCAGATGTGACATTTGCTGCGTTACCTTTCGAACACACCGAGGATTGCTGCGTCACAATGCGCTCGTCCACAAACAACTTCCCAGGGACGCAATGGGAAGGCCTTTCATACAGAACAACCCTTCCATTCCTGCTGGCTTCCATGACTTAGGATTCACTGACTTCTCCTGTAGGAAGTTTCCTCGAATTTCTCAGGTATTTGGCTCGGCCCGTGGACCCGGAAGCCACCTCCGCACGGGCTGAGTAGACCAGACCCCCCACCCCCACCCCAAAACCCTGAGGCTTCCCTTCCTTAAAATGTTGTCAGTTGGGTTTGTCTTTTTTTCATATATAACAACCTTTTTTCTTGAAACTCCGCTCGGTCTTTCAGTCTCCACTGGGTCATTGAGCTGCCGGGTGGGTTTTTATTTTGTGTTGAATTTCTTACTAGCCTGTGTCTGCTTTCCCATTCTTGGGGCGATTGGATTTAAAGTTGTGAATTGCTCACCACCCCTACCCCACCCCTGTCTATCTGAATTGCGTTTGTATTTTTTTAAATATTTCCTTAATAGGCATATTACAGGTAAATATTCCCAGTGCCGGTGTCGCAGTTTATATTAAAGATGTTTGGGGTCATTATTAACCCGAACCATGTTTGTTCTCTGCCTGTAAAACACCTGCCAAAACTACTTGGAAACTACTTTAAAATAAAAAAAAAAAGAGATACAGGGTATCAACAGGGAAACCCTTGAGGCACAGAAGCCTCAAGTTCAGTGAATTATTCCATATGTATAGACACATACCTATTTACCCACATGTATGCACTCACGTGACCCTCCCCCCCTCCTCATGCCCCTGCCCAGGCAACGCCCTTTGTCCCACTATCAAGAAGGTATAGTCACTTCTCCCCTGGTGGAAGGAAGTCCCCATCCCGGTAGTTTTCCAGAACACCATGTTCTGAAAGAGACTTTGTCCTATCTTTGTGCTGTTATTACTTAACCGTGTTTCACTGCTTCTCTGAGATACCCTGGGGTTGATGTCATTCACCAGGCAGGAAGGTGCTTAGGATGCTCTGTGGGTTCCCTGATTGAGTCCGGGGATGGGCGTTAGCAAGCCGGGGGGCGTGGGGAGGCCCAGGCTGGGTGCTGGGGCAACCGGACAGCAGATAGGTTTCTGCCCCTCGGGGGAAGTGATGATTTTTAAATCCTCTCTGTTCCCTTGCTGTTGCCGACCCACTTCCACGCAGGCCTGGTGTGAGACAAACCTACGGAGGTGCATCAGCGAGCAGCACCGGTTCGTCTGCGACACGTGTGACAAGGCGTTCCCCATGCTCTCCTCGCTCGCCCTGCACAGACAGACCCACGTGGCCACGGACCAGGGACGGGAAAGGCTGCCGGCCAAGACCCTGCCGGGGGACGATGCCCTAGACCAGAAGGCCTTCCTGGCCTTGCTGGGCCTGCAGCACACCAAAGACGTCAGGCCTGCCCCCGCCGAGGAGCCCTTGCCAGATGACAACCAAGCAATACAGCTCCAGACACTCAAGTGTCAGCTACCTCAGGACCCCGGCTGCACCAACATTCTGAGTCTGTCTCCTTTTGAAGCTGCTTCCCTGGGCGGCTCTCTCACGGTCCTCCCGGCCACCAAGGAGGGCATGAAGCACCTGTCCTTGCAGCCCTTCCAGAAGGGCTTCATCATCCAGCCCGACAGTAGTATTGTGGTCAAGCCCATCTCTGGCGAGTCCGCCATCGAGCTGGCTGACATCCAGCAGATTCTGAAGATGGCGGCCTCTGCGCCCCCTCAGATCAGTCTTCCACCTCTCTCCAAGGCCCCCGCTGCCCCTCTGCAGGCCATCTTCAAACACATGCCCCCTCTGAAGCCAAAGCCCCTGGTCACCCCGCGGACGGTGGTGGCCACGTCCACGCCCCCGCCGCTCCTCAACGCCCAGCAGGCCTCCCCCGGCTGCATCAGCCCCAGCCTCCCCCCGCCGCCCCTGAAGCTCCTCAAAGGCCCCATGGAGGCGGCCTCCAGCGCCCACCTGCTGCAGTCCCAGGCCGGGGCCCAGCCGGACACGGCCACACAGCTTTTCCTGCAGCAGCCGCGGCTGGAACTGCCGGGCCAGGCTGAGATGAAGACGCAGCTGGAGCAAGACAGCATCATCGAGGCCCTGCTGCCCCTGAGCATGGAGGCCAAGATCAAGCAGGAGATCACGGAGGGGGACCTCAAGGCCATCATGACGGGGCCCGGCAGCAAGAAGGCGCCAGCCATGCGCAAGGTGCTCTACCCCTGCCGCTTCTGCAACCAGGTGTTCGCCTTCTCCGGGGTGCTGCGCGCGCACGTGCGCTCCCACCTGGGCATCTCGCCCTACCAGTGCAACATCTGCGACTACATCGCAGCCGACAAGGCCGCGCTCATCCGCCACCTGCGCACACACAGCGGCGAGCGGCCCTACATCTGCAAGATCTGCCACTACCCCTTCACCGTCAAGGCCAACTGCGAGCGGCACCTGCGTAAGAAGCACCTCAAGGCCACGCGCAAGGACATTGAGAAGAACATCGAGTACGTGACCAGCAGCACCGCCGAGATGGTGGACGCCTTCTGCTCCCCGGACACGGTGTGCCGGCTGTGCGGCGAGGACCTGAAGCACTACCGGGCCCTGCGCATCCACATGCGCACGCACTGCGGCCGCGGCCTGGGCGGCTGCCCCAAGGGCCGCAAGCCCTTCGAGTGCAAGGAGTGCAGCGCCGCCTTCTCGGCCAAGCGCAACTGCATCCACCACATCCTGAAGCAGCACCTGCACGTGCCCGAGCATGACATTGAGAGCTACGTCCTGGCCACCGACGGCCTGAGTCCCGCTGAGGCGACCGCCGAGACCTCAGGGAGGGTGGAGGACGGGGGCGGGCCATTTGGCGATCGCAAGCCACTGGCCGCCTTCCTGGAGCCGCAGAACGGCTTTCTCCACGGGGGCCCCGTGCAGCCCCTGCCGCCCCACGTCTCGGTCAAGCTGGAGCCCGCCAGCAACTTCGCGGTGGACTTCAACGAGCCGCTGGACTTCTCCCAGAAGGGCCTGGCCCTGGTGCAAGTAAAGCAGGAGAGTGCGGCCTTCCTGAGCCCCGCCTCCGCGGCCCCCTATGACTGCTCCATGGAGCCCATTGACCTGTCCATCCCCAAGAACTTGAGGAAAGGAGACAAGGACGCGGGTGGTGCTGGTGAAGCCAAGAAGCCTGAGCAGGAACCGGGGAGTGGCGAGCAGCCGTCCCCCTGCCCTCCGCCGTGCCCTCCGCTGCCAGTGCCCTTGGGGCCCAGTGGGGGCCCAGAGAAGCCCGTGGCCTCTGCAGCCAGCACTCTGGAAGCCCACACTCAGCCCCTGCGGGGCTCTGTTCAGCTGGCCGTCCCCATCTACTCCTCCGCGCTGGTCAACAGCTCCCCCATCTTGGGTGGCTCCACCCTCATCAGCAGCCCGGCGTTGCTGCGGCCCCTGCGCCCCAAGCCCCCCCTGCTCTTGCCAAAGCCCCCCGTGACGGAAGAGCTGCCCCCGCTGGCCTCCATCGCCCAGATCATCTCGTCCGTGTCCTCGGCGCCCACCTTGCTGAAGGCTAAGGTGGCCGACCCGGGGCCCACGAGCGCCGGCAGTCCCAGCACGGCCCCAGACAGCTTAGGAAGCACTGTTCCCAGAGCTGCCACCGCCCCCGCCAACACCGCCGGCCCCAAAGAATCCAGCGACCCGTCCCCTCCTGCCAACAGCCCAGAGGCGGCCTCACCCACCGAGCAGGGGCCTGCGGGCTCATCCAAGAAGAGGGGCCGGAGGAAGGGCATGAGGAGCCGGCCCCGCTCCAGCAGCGGCGGGGTGGACCTGGACTCCAGCGGGGAGTTCGCCAGCATCGAGAAGATGCTGGCCACGACGGACACCAACAAGTTCAGTCCGTTTCTACAGACCACGGAGGACGATGCTCAGGACGAGGTGGCCGGAGCCCCCGCAGACCACAACGGGCCCAGTGACGAAGAGCAGGGCAGCCCTCCGGAAGACAAACTGCTGAGGGTGAAGCGGAACTCCTACGCCAACTGCCTGCAGAAGATCAACTGTCCCCACTGCCCCCGGGTCTTCCCCTGGGCTAGCTCCCTCCAGAGGCACATGCTCACACACACTGGTAAGAGGGCCCGTCAGGCCCTGAGCGCCACTTCCTGGAGGGGAGACTGTGACCTGGCTGGCCAGGGAGCGGGGAGGACAAGGGGCAGGGTGGAAGGCGTGGGACCCTTTTGCCCACAACCCCGTTTCTAGCTCCTCCCTCAGTCTGGGGAGCAGAGGCTTGCCTGCTGGAGAGCTTTCCCCTCGCACCCAGAATCCTGTTCCCACCGTCTCGGCCCTCCAGGGGCTGCTGGTGAAGGCAGGCGCTAAATGTAGGTGTTTGGGGATGAAAACAGTCCGGGGCCCCTTGGGTCACGAACGTCCATCCGTCTCATCCCTTCAGGAGGCGGTAGCAGGATTACTTGGGGACAGGAGGCCAGTTAGGGCAAAAGTAGAACTCGGTAGGAAGGCATCGGCCGCGGTGAACCTGCTGCTTTGGTTGGACAAACTGCCTCCCAGACTCTGCACAGCAGCTTCTAAAATCTCGAACGTTCCGTAACGTGCTTTTGACTCCACGTATTCTTAAAGAGAATGTTGCAAACCTCACAGTTATCTTCTTTCATTGCACTAATGCAATCCCAGCTTCCCGATGATGGGGGAAATCAGTGACAAATAGAATTTTTTTTTTTAAGATTTTATTTATTCTAAAACCATCAGCCATTCTGGAGAAACACACAGATACACCAGTGTATGTTCCAAGGGACACACTTAAATTGCCAAAAATCTATCCCAAAGTATTCTTCAAGTGTTAGTGTGTTGATTTTTTTTTTTTTTAAGAGAAGTTTAAGAGGATGCGTTTTCAGTCATTTTATACCAGGTACTTCCAAATAGTCACATGGCCTTACGCTCCCCTTGTCGTTCTGATTTACTGAGTAGTTACACAGGGTTTCTGTCACTGACCCGAAGGTCAGCCGGGTGAGATCTTTAACCTCTAGGAGATTACCACCCAAGCACTAATGGGTAGTCCCCGAAGCCAAATAGAGAACTGTGTGATACGGGATTGCCAGGTAAAATACTGGATGCTAGTTAAATTTCAGATAAAAAGCAAATAATTTGTAGCGTAGGTGTTTCTCCATCATTTGTCTGAACTTCAAACTGAAGCGTCTTCAGCTGCTAAATCTGACAGCTGTAGTTAGATACGAAGCTTAGGACTGGGAGGGAAAGGTACCGGGAGCTGGGTGTGAGCCTTGCTCTGCACCCAGGTGCGAAGGCTTCGTCCAGAGGGGGCATCACCGCAGAAGCGTCCCGGAAGCCCATGGCAGGCTGTTGCTGCTGACGAGGGAGGGAGGTCGCCAAGCAGCCCCTGGGAAACGGAGGGTGGGGGGCAGGTGGGGGTGCAGGCTGCGGGTGGGGGCTCTCTGAGACTGGTTGCCACAGAGATGCCGCATCTCTCTCTGGGCTGGCGGCGCCTTGAATCCAGGACTCCGGTGGCAGCAGGCCAGGAGCGCCCGTCCACGGGGGACTCGAATATCTAACAGAATTTCTAGATTTGTGAAGTCCCTGCTACGCTTTCAGACTGTCCTTTTCCCTTCACTGGAAACCACGTAAGCCTGGCAGAGGAAAGTGACAGTTTGTGTGGAGAAGGCAGGTCAGAAAAACGAAGCCATCATAACCGGGAGGTGCCCCCACGCGGCGGCGTCTCGCCGCCCTTTTGGGGGGACGCTTGTTTGTCACCTGCAGAGCCTTTGGAGAAGTGAGTACTCGTGTTAGCACTTCTCAGAAAGCAGGTGGCTGGGGGTGACCGTGAGCGGGGCTCTTGCCGCGGCCTCCCCCTGCACCCCCGGCTCAGAGCCCTGTGCACGTTTTCCGTGGGTGAGGCCATCGATTCCTGGCCTTCCTCTCCCTGGCCAACCGCCGGTCTCTCCCAGAGGACAGGGCCGGCCGCGGTTTCCCTTCAGGAGGCCTGCCCGCCTCTTCACTTGCCTGATAGAAGTTCCCACTTGTGAAGGCAGTCGTTGCGGTTGCCTGGCCTTCGGACGCCGGAACGTCGTAGGTGGCGTACGGTCTTGTAGCGTCTGAAGCCGGGCAAGGAAGGCGGGAGGGTGGGATAGGGTGCGATGGGGTGGCTATTGATAGAAAACACGTCGGGCCACTTCTCCATCACCGGTTACTAAACCCTCGGCGGTGGCCGTGCCTGTCACAGCCCCGTCCGCGACGCCCTGGCCGTGACCTGAGGGCGGCCCCAGCCTGGGTAGAGCTAGGCCTTCCCGAACTGTCCCGTGAGGGCGATGCTGTCCACAGCTGGAAGCAAGGAAACGAAGGCTCACAGAGGCCGAGCAACTGGCCCGTAGTCCCGTGGGTCAGGAGTGCTAGCGCGCGAGTTCAAAACCAGGGTCACGTCCCCTGCGGCTGCCCCACGGTTGGGTGTGTGGCTGCTGGTTCTCTGCCGGCAGGTGTCCGGGGCATGCCTGCTTCTGCCTTCGTGACATATCCGGACACGCTCCAGTGCAGAAGATTGGCAAGGGGTTGGAGAGGAGGCGAACTCAGACACAGACCCAACTCCCTGCCATGAGGCCCCGCGGCCTCGAGCCGGTGCTGGCCGCCCGCATAGACGCCGTGTAAGCTGGCGCCCCCTGGGCCTGGTTAACATCCTTTGCTGTCGTTCTCCTTCAGCTTCCGGTGACAGTCCCAGCATCACCTCTGTTAAATAATTTTACAGAGCACTTGGCTGTGCCTGGTGCTGTGTTAGAACATTTTCCATTCATCAAGTGTCACAGCTGGACGGAGCCTGGGAAATCGTCCGACCCACCCCCTCTTCCCACGGACTGGTGTTTTCCTGGTAGACGCTGAGCTGTTGAGGAATCCCCCAGCTGCCTGTGCTTGGGCTCCCTGGCCCTATGACGTGCTCCCTCCAGAAACCTCGGTATAGGACGGAGGCACGCATGTACGCGCACAGAAGCTAAATGGCTCTGAAATGGCCTTGTCAGCAAAAAGCACTCTGCGGAAAAGAGGCTTTTTTTGTCCCCCCGTAGCATTAAAATCTAGCTGTGCGCTAGCCAGAAGCTTCGAGCCGTGTCTGGGGTCAGATGGCCGTTAGGCAGACCGCCTCTTGTGTCTCAGGAGCCCCCCTCCTCCTGACCTGTTAGCAAATGCACAGAATGATCAGAACATCCTAGACGGGCAGCATTAGGGAGACCAGATGTCCCGCATCCAGGGGGCTTGCTGTGGCTGCAGGGGAGGGCCCGTGACTCAGGTTCTGGGGATTATGTCCCAGGTGAAGCCAGGTGTCTATCTGCCGTCCTGCTTCATCAGCCCTGGTGCGCTCTCTGCGTGAGGCTGAGCTCCCTCCTTGCACTCTCCTAGCCTGTGTCCCAGGAGCGGGGCTGGTCCCTGGTTCCTCGCTGCTTCCCCTGCCCCCCGCCTGAATAGTGTTGCCTCCTTGGGAGAGGACAGTCCGCTGTCCCTGCTCTTCCCCCTCACTTAGGCCACAGGCCAAGAGAATACAGAAAACGCAGTTGGCCTGCTTCTCTCCTCCAAATAACAAATCCCAGGTCAGGACTCTCGGATGGCTGAGCACCCTCCCCCCACTCTCCCCCGCCCCCAGCTCTGACGTTTTGGGATACTCCCAGGTGGTGTTTGTGCCTTTTCTTTGCTGACCTGAGGCCCTCCGCACTCACCTGTCCTACCCGCGCTGCTCACAGGTGACCAGCGTCGGAGCTGAAGTCAGTACGACGTGCAAACCTCAGTGTGGAAAGCGCTTTGGACCAAAACCAGTGCAGTTTGGCTACCTCTGACTTTCTGAAGTTGGCAGCCTTGGCCATTTTTGCCCAGCCAGCCCTGCGTGCATCTCTGTGACACACAGGGGAGAGAGAAGCCTTACCCACGAGGGTGGAGGGCCATGGAAAGAAGAAATCTGAGGGTGGGAAGCCCAGTGACGAAACGAGCGCCCGCTGCTCATTCTTCTCCTCGTGAGCCCGGTGCCTGCCAGATGGCATCACGTAGCACACGTTCCTCTCTTTTCCCGACTGCTCTCTGACAGTGAAGCAGGCTAGCCGATGGTTTTCACGGCTCCTGATGGAGGTAGCGGGCGGCCGTAGGTCTCTGGTGAGAAGGAAACTCCTGTGGTTACAGGTGCACTTAGAAACACCCCTGCCAGAGCAGTAACTTGTGGCAGTTACCCAAATCAATGAAATCGTGAGATACTTTCCAGGTAGATCACCAGGGGACAAGTTTTGGGGAAGCCTGTCTGATTCAGAAATGACTGGAAGGGCTCGTGTTTTTTTCTCTGTCTGTGCACTCCAGAGAACACACACCGCTATTCAAAACATCAGACTTGTGTGTCGATTATACGTCAGTAAAAATAAGCGAGTGGGTGAACGAATGCAAAAATGTCAGGCTTCTGCAGCGAGAGGTGAACTTTTAAAGATTCCTGTTCGTTGTCGCTTTGAGAACCTTCATAATGCGATTACGATACTCTGACATCATCGGGTTCTTGTTTGAATTTGGCACACGGATGGGAATTTTCAACATGGGGCCCGAGCCCGGCTGTCCAAACCCAGCTGTAGAAGGGGAGCTGTAAAGTCAGAGCAAACCGTGTATTGGGAAGAAGTAAGGAACCGATTATATGATTTCAAATCCAGAATCCCAACAGTTCCTCATCATCCCAGCTTCTGACTGGTGTCGCTCCCAGCTAGGCCTGGCCTGACTCGGAGAAGCTGTGATAGTTGATGCTTGACGATGAAATATTAAAGTATTTTTCTTACTTAAAATAAAGGCCGAATAATTATGGAAGATTATGTTCAGTGTTTAGTAAAAAGCAAGAGTAATTTGGAGCGTGCCTCTCCGCCCCCCCCCCCAAAATAATCATTATAACAAAACCAGTCTTCATGTAAAAGTGTGATTTGGGTTTTTTTTTTTTTAAGATTTTTATGTATTCATGAGAGACACAGAGAGACAGAGACACAGGCAGAGGGAGACGCAGGCTCCTTGGAGGGAGGTCAATGTGGAACTTGATCCCAGGACCCCGGGATCACGCTCTGAGCTGAAGGCAGACGTTCAGCTGCGGAGCCACCCAGGTGTCCCATGATCTTGTTTTTTTTGTGTCATTTTTATAACTAGCAGAAAACACTGAGCTCTGTGGAAAGCTTTTTTTTTTTTTTTTTTTTAAAGGAAAGCTTTAAAGCAGTGGGCTCTCCACTCCATCCTATAGGTCCCCTGTGAGCCCCTTCAAAGCACACGCCAGGCATCTGAGATTCTCATTCCATGGCCTTTGATGGTTTCGGGCATCTGTATTCTTAAAAAGTTCCACTGGTGATTTTGAAGCATCACCCGGAAGGGTCTTGCAGCTCAGGAGGGAAGGGACATCCCCTTTCCTTGCTTGCTCCCGATGCTGGGATTTGGCAGGGCAGTGATTCTGGGCGTGCTCTGTGTGACTGGTGCCCCCTGGAGTTGTGTGGTGTCGGTGCTAGTTCTTCCTTCCCCTTGTGAGCCAAGGCCCAGGCTCTGGGCCCAGGTGGTCACTTGCAGTGGATGCGTGGGTTGTCCCCTGCACTAGATGGAGCATCCGTTGACAGCCAGCAGGAGGCTGAGGGCCCCTGGGATTGGTGTGTCGAGGGGGCCACGCTGGCTGACTTCACTGCCAGTTCTTGACACATGCACTCGATGGTGGCGGCCCCAGGGTTCCGAGGGACACCTGCCAGGCTGCAGCTCTGAAGTCGTGTTTGTTAGTACACAAAACCTCTTCCCCTGTAAAATCAGAAAGTGGGATCTTAGCACTTGGGGGAAAACAGAAGAATCCAGCGATAGGGTAAATGGCCTTCCCTCTCCTGCATTTCCGCTCACCGGCCCCTTCCCTTGGCCCCCGCTGCTCCTCCCGTCCTCCTTGCCTTTGCTTCTCCCTGCGCGTCCAGCCTCGTGCACACACACACAGGACAAGTTGCAGAGGAGGCTGGCCCACGTTTTGGAAATACTGTGTTTATGGTACAGAAGGAGTCAAGATGGGAGGATAAGACAGGCAAAGCAAAGCCGAGAACCCGTTTCTCAGGAGGTACCCCGTGGTGGAGTTGGCGGGGACGTGGGGGCTGCTCGGCCACTTTTCTTCACAGGCAGGTCTGTGGCCGGGAGCACCTGCTCTAACACAGACTCAGGCCTTTGTCGGGCATGCAGACTGCCAGCAAGGCCGCAGGACGAAGCGGACGGAGAACCCCTAGTGCAAGGAGCGGACCTCCTCTGCGTTGCCTGCTGGGCCCACAGTGAGCTTGGGCAGAGGTCACTCTAGGCCTGTCACCCTGGCATTTCCCTGCTTCCAGTCGGCCGAAGGCAGGCCACATCCACCTCGGCCAGGCAGAGGGTGGTGGCCCCCAGGGACATGCCCGGCTTCAAGATTCCAGTCTGATTTCCCAGCATCTGTAGTGCTTGCCAGAAATTTCCAAGAGGTGGCTTCTCTTCGCAACAGATTGCAGGTGTCTCCTATCCCTTCACTCGCTCTTTTGTTGCCATTGTTAAGATTTTTAATTGCAATACTGTTGTTGTAAACATCTTGGTTTCATTGTTAACTTTTAGCACTTTGAAGACAAAAACCGTCATTGCGTTTCGCTCAGGATAAGGCAAGATATCATTTGAGTTGTTGATGTTACCGGTGTTTTTTTTGTTTTGTTTTGTTTTTGTTTTTTTTTAAAGTGTGTGCGTGCGTGCGTGTGTGGTTTTTTTAAAGGAAGGGGTGGGGGGGGTGGATATGCCAGTTATCCCAGGAGAATGAATGGAAAGCGACTTTTCTTTTTCATTGCAGTAGAAAGCCAGATAAATATATATTTTTTTTCCTGCTTCAGGTCAGAAACCCTTCCCTTGTCAAAAATGCGATGCCTTCTTTTCTACCAAATCTAACTGTGAACGCCACCAGTTGCGCAAACACGGAGTTACCAACTGCTCCCTGAGAAGAAACGGGCTTATCCCCCAGTCAAAAGAGAGTGATGTTGGACCCCATGATAGCACAGGTAGTGCTCCCGGGTGACGGAGAGGAGGGCGACTCAGCTCTGCTAGTGTGGGAGCCAGCTCCGGCCACGTAAGCCTGGCGGGCTGCCTTCCCCATTCCTCTGTAGGACTCGGCAGGCAGGCGGTAGCAGCGGGCCCTGCCGAGGACTGGGAGCGTGCAGCGGGCTGGGGCTGGGGACACGCTGACAGTGCCCCTAGGCCACTCTCCTGAGCCGCTAGGGAAGATCTGCGCGGCCCTCCCTGTGCAGGCCCTCTCTGATCCTGCTGTTTGCCCCCCTGGAGTGGGACACGAGGCTGGGGCGGGGGGTACAGTCCTAGCTCTCGGTAGTAGGATCACCTCTGAAAGGGATATGAAACCTTACTGGCTCGGGGTGTTGTTTTCTCAAAGCCCAGCCTCTGCTGCATCCTACAGAGCAGGGACGGGCTCCCTCCGATGTAGGGTATTTCAGGAAGTCGTGATGCCAGCCCTCCACGGGGAGGGGTATGTGGGGTGGGGGTGTTTTTCTCTTTAGTAACTCTCTTCCCAGTAAAAAAAAAAAAACAAAAAACAAAAACAAAACAAAAAAAACTTTGTCTTGTTTGAAAAAGCACTCTGCATGTCCTTTCTTTAATCACATCTCTGCTTGACCTGAATCCGGGTATTATTCTCATGTGCTGATACGTGCTTCCTTCCTCCAGCCCCTACAGAGCAATTAACGGCTGTTCAGTGCATCTCCTGCCACCTTTTCCCCCCTTACAGCTTCTGTATTCACTCCTGTCCTCTATTCAGTCCATTCCAGCATCTCCCAAATGCCAGGGTTCTGCGCCCTCCCCACCCTCACCCCCCGAGACAGAGCAGAACACCGGCTGCTGCGGGTTACCTACGTACATGACAGTTAGCTGCCGCGGGTTGGCAACAGGTACGGACCCAGTCCTGCAGGCCGTGGAAGCCTGACATTTCCCCATTGCTCAGAGCCGAAGAGGTTCTCCCCAGAGGCGTTTGTCCAGGGGTGTAATTGTGTCTTGCACTTCTCTACCTCGGATTTGGGTGGGGGTGGGAGCCGCGTGGCCTGGGAGCCCCCCTCGTTTCCCCAGCCTCCTGAGTTGCAGGGGGACAGGGGCGCATCTGAATGGGTAGCGCTTCCAGGAAGGAGAATTGATCCGGACCCTCTGCCTTCCCCCTTTAACCCTAGTTAAAGAAACAGGCCCCTGAACTGCCAGGCCCTTTGGGTAAGATCAAGCCCTCTAAGGGTATCAAAACGTAAGCCTGTTTGCGGGCTCCTCCCCACAGCTTCCATCTGGGCATAACTTGCCAGGATCTTTGAGTAAAGAGAGATCGGGAACTTTGCCATGACTTGGATCCCCATGAGCCAGGGATCTGCTGTTCCGTCCCCGGGGACCCCGCAACGATGCTGGCAGGACTCGCACGTGCTGCAGACGGTCGCTCTTAACCTTTAACCGCTGGCCACCGTGTCACCCGAACATTTTCTCGAAGCCCGGTTTAAGAAAGCAGCTGTGTGATTCTAACCCATAGTGATCCCAAGCGAGGGAAAGCAGTGGATAATTGAGGTCAGGGTAGCTGTTGGTTTCCCAAGGTGGGAGGCAAGTAAGAACCTGGTGCCGGATGCACGTTGTGCACTTGAGCCTGCGGACAAACCCAGAGCCCATGCACCCTGCTGACCCCGGGGTGTGGGCAGCCAGCTGCAGGAGCCCCCAGACGCAAAGCTAATCAGGACACACCTCTTAGCTTCAGCTCAGCACCAAATTTTACTCTGCGAATGTATTCATTTTTTAAATTGGCAGCTACATAAGTTCTGTTTTGCCAAATCCCGCTAGACCCCCCACCGTTGCCCTGTCCTGGAGGTTGTGTAGGGTTTCTTTAAGGGACAGAGCCTCTGGAAAAAGAAAATTCACTGCAAGTTGTAATGTGAAACCAGCAAAGAGAAAATAAATGTTCGGTTTTGTTGTGGTCACAATCCATACATGGTAAGAAAGAAGGGGACGAGGGGGTTAGGGATTCCAAGGAGTTTCAGACCCAGGTAAGCATGGCGGGGGCCGTGGGGTGAAACTTGCTTTCGGGGCTCCCTCCCATCAGGTTAAAAGTGAGGCTTTAGCGGAAGACCATAAACAACAAAGGCAGGAAACAGCCAAGGAAGTTCTCGGGTTTTCTTAGGTTTACATACCCAGCTTTCAAGTCCCTAATTTTATAACATAAGTCTGACTTTCTCAGTCCTGTAAGTTCTTAGAGGAAAATGTACCCCAGGTTCCCGACCCCCCACACACAAGGGAATGCTAACAATGCTACGAAGGGGGCAGTCCTGGCCCAAAGGGGCACACGGAGCTCTCCGTTCACTCTCTCGTGGGCAGAGAGGTTCCCTGGCCCGCTGGCTCTTTGGGGGATACTCGTGGTTCTTCTCGGGGTTGATGCCTGCGGAGCCTCCGTATTTGCAGGCACCTGCATGAGACTTTCTAAGTCTGTAGGGAGGTGGAAGTTTGACTTCTCACCGGCCAGAAGGCCCCGTGCCAGCGCGCACGGGTGGCTTGATGCAGACAGTAGCTTCCTCAACAGCTGCCCCCCTGCCCGGGTCGACTGGGTGTTTTTAGGTTGGTAGCTGGTCACGTCAATGAGGAACGTGGAGTTTCTAGGAAGCCGGAGAGGATTCATCGTTGAGCTGACATGAAGGTCTCCACTTCCCCCGTAGGAGGAGCTGTGGGTTCATTATCTACTGGTGCTCGCAGGATCCCTGCTCCCTCTAGCAGTTTTCTGAGGTCTAGCATCACGAATGAGGGCCGGGTAGGGACAGAGGATTAACAGCTAAGATAGGTGGCGTTGCTCATAAAAGCCATCTGTTCTGCTACCTGCGTTTGAAGGTGTAGGCGGTTGAAGGAGTGTTGGGCGGCGGGGGGTGGGTCAACTAGGACCTGGCGTTAGAGGCTGGGTATTGGTGAAATGAGAAGAGGTCCAGTCATCACTTAATGAAAATCAGTTGAAGTTGCTAGAACTTCCAGGGGCCCAGGCTGCCCTGTGGAACACTCCCCCTAGTGGGAGTCTGGGTAGAGCTGAGCCAAGCCCCCTTTTGTTCCTCAGAGGAAGGGAGTTGGCCCTTCTCGGGATTTAGGGTGAGCTCTCCATTATCCACCCTCACGAAGGACGCACCCAAGAGTGAGAACAGCCAGGTATTAGCGTATTTACTTGGGGTTTGGTTTCAGAATCCATCTTTTTTTTTTTTTAAGAGCATCTTTTTTTTTTTTTTTTTTTTTAATTGAGAAGCAGAGACCCAGGCAGAGGGAGAAGCAGGGTCCATGCAGGGAGCCCAACATGGGACTCGATCCCGGGACTCCAGGATCACGCCCTGGGCCAAAGACAGGCGCTTAACCACTGAGCCACTCAGGCGTCCCTTTTTAAGAGCATCTTAAGTATGTTCTGCTACAGGGAACTCGAAAACCCATTTGGTGAAAAAATAACAAGAAAAGCAGCCTAAAAGCCATGTTCTTTGGTGAAAAAAATTAAGAGAAACAGCCTAGAATATACCGCAATAAAAAAAAAGGAAGTAACTAGAGATTAAGCTCTTTTAAGAAACTGAGCATACTTTTTTTTTATTTTTTATTTTTTATTTATTTTTTTTTTTGTAGAGTTCACACCCCAAAATCCATTTACTAGATGCTCCCAGTCGGGATGATTCAAGACAACGAGCACACGGTTTTTCTGTAGAATAAGGCCTAGGTATTGGTGTATCTCGGGAGTCCTCTTATTTTAAACTTGATCATTTCATAAAGATCATTTATTGACAGATTTTACATTCACACCATAAGTATCTGTTTCCTTCTGAAACTTGTTGAGATACTCAATTAGTGACTGCCAAAAGGAACAGCCCCCGTAAGGCCAGCGGAGTGACGTAGTGGGAGTGCCGTGGAGAGGGCTGTAGGTAAGCCAAAAGCCCCGGGCAGGTGTGAGCGTGGCAAGCGTAGGGCCAGCTCCTCTGCCCCCAGCCCCAGGGCGGCCTTGATGGCAAAGAATCGATCGGGTGACTCAGTGACGCCCACTCAGTGTGGGTGGACAAGGTGCCACGTCTGGTCACATCAAGTGAGGGTCCAGGTTAGACGCCTGAATCTGCTGGCTCGGGCCCTGTAACCATGAGGGAAGTCCAGCTGACCCAGGTGCCCCGAATCGATGGCTTTTGCCCGCCCGATTGTGGGAGGGATTTCCGAAGCCCTGCGGTGATAAATTGGCCGTTGGATCTATAATTAAGCGGTAGTAGTCCTCAGCAGACAGCTGCACGGTCCTCGCACACCACGAAGACGTCGTCAGGTCCTCATTCAACCCGAATGAAGAGATGACGGTGCTTCTGACACTTAGCTGTCGCCTGTTAGGGGTCGCTGGGGCTGCCACAGCGCCATCCATTAGGACGGTCATTTAAAAACTGGTAGACTTTGCACATCTGGCTTTGCTCTGGGGGGGGGGGACAGGTGTAGGGCGAGGCACTGCTTCCAGTCACTGCGTGGGCCCACAGCAGCCAGGGCGGCCGACAGCGTGCATGCACCTCCTCCTGCCCCGGAGCGCCCCCCGGGAATCCGCGGCAGGCGCCAGCGCAGTGCTGCGGGCTCCAGGCCCCCCCTGGCCGCTCCTGGGGGGCCGCTCGCGCAGCCGCCCTGTGTGTGTTGCATGTTCGTATAATCTCTCTGCGCTGGAAAAATAACTCGTCCGGCTTAGCTTCCTCAACCTCCCTAGAGCTGCGAGTCTCTGGAATGCACCACCTGTCCTCTCTCGCCGATCCTTCTGTCTGCTGCCCTCAGTCGCTCACACCTTCCTGGGGGCCCGTTGGGGGGTGGGTGCTGGGCACCGCCGTGGGGGCCAGGGCTCTGGGCGCAGCGTGTCCATGGAGGCTCTTCTTGCGTCCCAGGGTCACCACTGGCCTCGCGGGGACTGAGTGGTGACACGGAGCGGGGCGGGGGGCGGATCCAGCCGAGAGTCCCAGTGCGGGGCCCCGGGCCTCAGCCTGTGCCCCTGTGCTCGCTCCCGCAGACAGCCAGTCGGACGCCGAGACCCCGGCGGCGGCGGGGGGTGAAGTGCTGGACCTCACCTCCCGGGAGAGAGAGCAGCCGGCGGCTGAGGGGGCCCCCCCTGTGCCCGCCCAGGCCCGCGAGGAGCTCCCCACCGAGGAGGTGCAGCCCGGGGACAGGCAGGAGCAGGCAGCCGGCGATGGGCAGGAGCACGAGGAGCAGCCCGCTGGGGACAGGGACGAGGACGCCGACGGCCCCGAGGACGACACAGTCAGCAACAAGAGCCTGGACCTCAACCTCGCCAGCAGGCTGATGGGCTTCAAGCTGGCCGAGGGCGACGCGGGTGCGGCGGGCGGCGGCGGGCCCGGCCCGCAGGACCACAAGCACGCGTGCCACGTCTGCGGCAAGAGCTTCAAGTTCCAGGGGACCCTGAGCCGCCACCGTAAGGCCCATGACCGCGAGGAGCCCCAGGAGGACAGCCCGGCCGCCAGCGGAGGGGGGCCCGAGGGCCCGCCGTCCCGCCCGAGCCCGACGAGAAGCCCCCCGCCGACGCCTCCTCCGAGGAGCCTGCTGCGGCCGACGGGGTGGCCTCATCGGCATCCGACGCCTCCGGGGAGAAGCCGAGTGAGGAGGCGGACGGCGCCTCGGACGGGGAGAGTGTGGCCGAGAAGAGGTCCTCGGAGCGGAGTGATGACGACAAGAAGCCAAAGACAGACTCCCCGAGGAGCACGGCCAGCAAGGCAGACAAGAGGAAGAAGGTGTGCAGTGTGTGCAACAAGAGGTTCTGGTCCTTGCAGGACCTGACGCGGCACATGAGGTCCCACACAGGTAAGGAGGGGGCCGGAGTGCGGGGCGCCACCGCTGCCCACGCCTGCCCGTCCACCTCCCCACCCCGCCTGCCTGCCCACCCAGCCTGCCTGCCCATCTACCTGCTCATCCACCTGCCTGCCCAGCCCATCTGCCCATCCACCTGCCCACCCAGCCCGTCTGCCCATCCAGGCCACCTGCCCGTGCACCTGCCCACCCAGCCCATCTACCCATCCATCTGCTCATCCACCTGCCCATCCAGCCCACCTACCCATCCACCTGCCCGCCCACCTACCTGCCCATCCAGCCCACCTGCCCACCCAGCCCACCTGTCTGTCTAGGTGCCCGTCCACCTGCCATCCACCTGCCCGTCCAGCCCAGCTGCCCATCTACCTCCCCACCCAGCCTACCTGCCTGCCCACCCACCCATCCACCAAGGGGCCCTTTTGCTGGCACATGCTGCCCCTGCCACCGCCACCTGAATCAAACACCTCCCCCAAAGCAGCAAGGCCGAGTTGAGGTCCTGAGCAGGCCCTTGGCCAGGTGAAGTCCGGTAAACTCGGAATTTAACCGTTGGTTCTCTTTGCCATCAGAATGTACAGCATACAGGGATGCAGCATGTACCCTCAGCAGCGGTAGTTTTGAGAGCACTTTGGTCAGCCCCCCGAGCCTCAAGTCTCAAGTCTTCCCAGTTCTAGAACGGGCTGCCCGGTCCCATAGAAGCGTCTAGAAGAATGTGGGTGCTGGGTGTTTGGGACCTGCGTAAGCCTGAGGAGGACTGGGGGTGAAGCCTGGGGAGCCGGCAGGTGCTCGGTGGGAGGCACCTGGGTCCCGTCCTCCCCCGTCAGGTGGACAGTTGGCTGCACATGCACACAGCGAGGGGCTTGTCCGTGCTCCTTCTGGAACTCCCCACCTACAAACCCCCCGAAGCAGAGCCATTGTTTTGGTAGCAAGGGGGAGACCTGGGTGTCCTTGTAAAGCCGAAAGATGTGAACCCATCCCCTCGTCCCCCTTCCCCCCACCCAAAAAAACAACCCCAGGGCTTGTACCTCAGCCTCTGCTTACCTCGGCCCCTCCCGCGGCAGCCAGGGTGCACGCATCCGCCCCACGCACTCCTCCGCCCGCAGCAGCTAGGCCTCTGCTCAGGGGATTTGGAGGGCTCTGGGGCTTGGCTCCCAGCAGAGAGATATTCTTGGGCTCCTGGCAGGTGGTGCCCTCAGCTGCTCACAGCCCAGTGTTTGTGAGCAGGACAGAAAGCCTCAGCTGCTCCGCATCAGAACAGAGTGTCTGGTGCCTCGGGCTGACCTGCCGCTGTCCTGCACGACCCTCAGAAACAGTGCCCCGGCCCTGTGAGGGGGACCTCGCTGCTGGCCTTCCCTGAGGTTTCTCTACAGGCCCGTCTGGGTGTCCTTGAGGCGTCCATCTGGGGACCCTGGTTCCTGCATCCATGTGTGAAGAACTAGTCTGAGAGATGGAAGGGAGAGGGAAGCGGAGGCGGCCCCTTGCATTTCTGCTTCCTTATTTTGCCAGTTCATACAAATAAGAGGGTTCACCCTGAGTCCGGGTGCGGGCAGTGCAGGGTGGGGGGCTGGCCCTTGCCACCTGCTGCTCCTTTGGCAGCACCCATGGCTGCCACCCACGTAGGCCACGGAGGTGCATGGATGCCGGCGGCCCCACCGTTAACAGACGTGACTTCTTTCTCCCGCCGCTCCAGGAGAAAGGCCCTACAAGTGTCAGACCTGCGAGCGAACCTTCACCCTGAAGCACAGCCTGGTCCGCCATCAGCGGGTCCACCAGAAAGCCAGGCACGCCAAGCAGCATGGGAAGGACAGCGACAAGGATGAGCGGGGCGAGGAGGACAGTGGGAGTGAGTCCACCCACAGCGGCAACAACCCCGTCTCAGAGAACGAGGCCGACGCGGCCCCCCCGGCCAGCAACCACGTGGCCGTCACCCGGAGCCGGAAGGAGAGCCTGGCTGTCGCCACCAAGGATCCCAGCCGCAGGGAGGAGCGGGCAGCGCTTCGGACGGCGGGCGCTGGCCAGGCTGATGCTGGCAGGAGCGCTGCCAAGGCCCCGCCGGCGGGCAGCCCCAAGGAGCAGGGGTCTCAGGGCGACCCGGGCCCGGAGAGCCCGCCGGCCCTCGTGCAAGATCCGCCCGCCCGTGCCCTGCTGGCCGCGGACGGGGCCTCACCGCTCCTGGGAGTGGAGTGATAGTTCACCCTGTCCCCCCGGCGGCACACAGATGAAAGCCAGCAGAGCAAAGTGTCCTGAATCTAGATTTCATGAGGTTTCCTCAGTGCCCTTCAACTATCGGGGAGTGTGTGTGTGTGTGTGTGTGTGAGTGTGAGTGTGTGTGAGAGAGTGGGCGAGCGAGCGAGAGCAGGAGCGGGCCGCCCTGCCCGGTGCCACAGCCTTACACCCCCGTCCAAGAGACGCAGCAGGTGCACACTTCGAGTGCCTTAAGTACTCACCAGCCCTTCGGTGTAGCCTGGGTGTTGTGTTTCCCCAAAATGACTGTTTGGGAAAAAAAAAAAACAAAAAAAAAAAACAAAACAAAGCAGATGTTTTAATGAATTATTTGGAGAGGACCTTTTCATTTAAGCATTAACGTTATCTTCTGTATTGGTGTGTCTGAGCTTGTCCTTGCGAATCTGTGATCGTCACCTATGTTCTGTGAGCTGGAAACAGAAGAAAAGAAATAACGCCCTTGCATACCCATAGCCAATAACTGGAAGAAAATGATGTGAATTTCATGTAAATTGCCAGAGGAAATACGGATAAGATGTTCTTTTCTCAAATAGACCTTTTTCTTTTCTGTGTTCGCTGCCTGGTGGAGCTGTAGTTTGGTCCTCGGGATGGCGGGATGTGGCTGACGAAGGTTTCCAGCGTGGCGCCAGCCGAAAGCAGGAGAGACGCTAGCTTCAGCCCCGTACTCACGTGTTTTCAGCGTCAGACCTGACGCTTACTGTTCCAGTTTCAAGACCTCCGTTCTTAACTTCCAGAGAAGAGTTAACGCTGGCGACTTTAACCTATGGAGAACGTGCGCAGATGTCACGTATCTGATTCCCCCCCCTTTGGGTATATGTATTATTAATATTATTATTATTATTATTATTAGTTCATCAGTTTGCTGGTCTCTGCAGTCAGCAGAAACAAATGGGCAATATTTGTCCCGGGAGACCTGGGCTGCCCCCGGGTCCCCGCGTGGGCCTGTGCCCGCGGCTTTCCTCGGCACCCCCGGGTGGCAGCTCTTCTACTGTACTTAGACAAGCCTTTCTTCCGTGACTGCAGAATCCAGCGGGGGGGCCGGGAGCGGTCCTCCCTGGCGGGCGGCCGAGAGCAGCCCCGAGAGGGCAGAGAGCAGCCTGGCGGCCAGGAGGCCCGGCCCGAGCCTTTCCCGCCTGTGCTACTGTCACGTGCAAAGCGAGGAAGTACTACTACTGGTTATACAACGCACACAGGAGATGAAAGATGAGACGCAGATTTGTATTTACCTTCCTGTGATGTGGGGTTGGTGCTTGACGATAAACATGCTGTTTCTAACGTTCCTGAAATTGCCTGAACCCCGCCACCACCACCCCCCACCCCGGGTGCAAAAAAAAAAAAAAACAGGATTTCTTTTTTTTTTTTTTTTTTTTTTCCCCGTGAGCATCCCACGCAGGCAGTTAGAGTCCCCTCCCTGCAGCCGCCGGCAGCGGCGAGAAAGCTAGCCCTGCTGTAGCTGAGCGTGCGCTCGGCACCCTGTCCTGCAGCCGGCACCTCTAGGGTGCCCGGGCGCTCCCCCCCCACTTCACCCCCACGAGCACGGACACACACGCCCCCTTCTCTCTCCCCACCGACAGTGGCCAAAATCCCACCAGCCCAAACTTCAAAGGAAGATGTGTATTCTTGGGATAATGACAAGCGATCTCTTTGCATGTGAAAGGAAAAAGGTCGAGGCATCTATGACTTTTCAGCTTTCCTGGGGAGCTGAACCCAGAACCGGGTCGCCTCCAGATGAATACAAAACCAGAACCAATGATCTCCTGTTATCACTTTATACCCGGTGTGGTTTGCGGAGTTAAAAACCAGTTCATGCATCCCTTCGTTTTTTTTTTTGTTTTGTTTTGTTTTTGTTTTTTTTTAAATGACGATTGTTATTTTTTTTTTTTTTGTCGATGTTCTTATTTGGGGTATCTTGTGTTTCGTTTTCCTTTGCAACTCTCCACACTAAAACCCGCGACTCTGTGGAGAGAAGCCATGACTTAGCGCTACGCTGCGGTGAGATGTAGCAGGAATGGGCCCGGCCGTGCGGCCTGGGCCGCAGCTCGCAATAATCACTATTGATTTAAAGCTTTATTTAGCCTCCATCTGTACCCTCGTAGTCGGTAAGGTCTTGCCACATTTTATTAGTGAGGTTGAGAAATGTATTGTCTGTCATTCTGTCCCCCTCCCCCCAATATTAAACTGTGAAATTTGTGATTTGTTTAAACTCTGGGTGAATCATAGTATAGTTTGCATGTCCAGCTAATTTGTTTCTATACATTTTGTTTGATTCTCTTTCTCCTCCTCTCAGGGCTTTTACAAAAAAGAAAAAAATAGTATATATATACATATATATATATATATATATATATGCGTCCATATATATATATATATATATATATGGATCTTCTGAAAAGTTTTTTGAGGTGCAAGTTTTTCTCTTGTTTTTCTCTTTGATTTATGGACACAATGCTGAGATTCAATCACTACATGAAACTCCTGGCTGTGAAAACAAAATACGAAACCCAGAGCTGTTTCCCAAACAGCCCCCGGGGGGAAGCTACGTGACAGTCGGCTGCCAGTTTCAGAAAGATGCATCGTACCTTCCACCCTCTTCGTCTCTGTCCTCTCTTCAAGAAGGAAGTTGATCCCAGTGATTTCAGCCCATGCATTAAACAGGAAACAATAATAAATGTGTAGAATTCATATTTTTCTAAAGGGAACTTAACTGCTGCTACGTGTTATGTACAAAACCGGTTTATGCCACATGAACAGAATCACAAGTTTGGTTTTGGTACTTTTTGTTTCTCTTTGTATTCAGTTGTATAGTACTTCCAAATTCAGAATGAGAAGAAAAGCTGTTCTGTATCAAACCATCTAAGCAATAAATGTCATATTTTAAAAATGGCAGATTGCCGGTCACCCGGGCCGTCCTGTCATTTGCTGTCGTCCCACCAGCTTGTCTGGCACCCGGACTGCAGCCTGCGCAGGACTGGCGTCCGGGGCCATCGGGGGACTGTGTGCCCTCTCCCATCGGCCCGGGCCCCAAAAGGAAGCCCTGTCCCCCCAACCCCACCCCACACCACCCACGGCGGCTCCCAGGAGAAGCCCCTGGCCTGTGGCTGCAGGTGCTGGGCGGGCAGGAAGTCCAGGCAGAGCAGGACCTTTGTCATTCCCCCCCCCCCCCCCCGACACCTCTCCCGCCACACAAACACACACGCTTGGGGCTTGACACGTCTACACCGCTGCAGCGGGAATTGGCTTTTCTGGGGCTGCACCTCCAGTCTCGTCCACGCTGCCTTTTCCTCCTCCTGAGGGTGAGGACAGATCACGTCCCTGGGGGCAGGAGAACCCACCAGAGGGGTGGGCCCACACAGTAAAGTAGCGAGTGGGCAAAATCCCGAAGTTTCTTTTTTAATTTTATTCATTTATTCACGAGAGACCCAGGCAGAGGGAGAAGCAGGCTCCATGCAGGGAGCCCGATGGGGGACTCGATCCTGGGACCCCGGGATCACGCCCTGGGCTGAAGGCAGATGCTCCACCCCTGAGCCACGTAGGGATTCCAAAATCCTGAATTTTCTAACCCGGGACTCCAAGCCACCCTGGAGGGAGCGGGGCTCAGGGCAACGGAACCATGGACGGGGGTTCAAAGGCATTGAGCGTGCTGGGCGAGACCGCAGTGCCTGTGCTGGGGGGGGGGGTGTCCCCTGTGGGGAGGCCCCCCATGGCCACACACAGGCCGCTGCCAACCCAGGCTCCTGAACTTGGGATAAGATGAGCAAACACTGGGAGTGACGGAAGCGCAGTGCCTGGACTGGCACCTCCAATGGGGGGTGGGGGGGCGGCCTCGTGGCCTGTGGCCCGCACCCGGTCAGCATCAAGGCCAAGGGGCAGCCCGGGGCTGGGTGGCCTTGGCAGAAGGTACAGAGGAGGTGCCCAGTGGCTCCCTGGTCAGTTCTGACCCCAACCACGGCTTGGGGAGCTTCCCCCGTGCTCCTCCGCCCGGACCAGGCCCCTCAGCACCTGCACCCTGGACCTTTTGTGCAGAAGATAGTTTGGGGCTCCCACGGGAATGTACAGCATGAGCTTCATCGAACCGTAATCTGTTTATTAGGGAAAAAGCTGGATGTGGGTTTTCTCTGTTGGGCCCTCGAAGAATCCCAGTCGGGCGCAGGCAACCCAGGGCTGTCTGAGCCACAGGCCGCCCCCCGCCTGCTGCTTCCTCCCTTCCAGCCCTCTTCTGGACCTTTCCTTTGCCTATCGGGAGTGGGGAATGACAGGAGCTTACGTTTACAACCGGTTTCACGGGGGGCGCCTGGGGGGCTCAGTTGGTCAAGCATCTGCCTTCGGCTCGGGTCATGATCCCGGGGTCCCGGAATCGAGCCCCACGTTGGGCTCCCTGCTTCTCCCTCTCCCTCCGCCCCTCCTCCCCAGTCGTGGTCTCTCAAATAAAAATCTCTCAATAAAATAAAAGCAGGTTCACCTTTGTGGTTGTCCCAACGTGGTCGGGCCTGTGCTCTACACTGAGCGCGGGGCGGCCCTTCCCAGGGCACCGTCCTAGGCACGGAGAGTACGGCGGGAGCAAAACCGATTTCTTTCCTTGTGGAACTTGGGTTTTGAGGGCGGCAGACAATAAACAGACTAGCGGAGGAGGGTGCAGAGTGGGTGCAAGTCCAAGGGGAAGAGGAGGCCATGGGGAGGTGGGGCCGGGAGCGCCGGCAGGGTGACCTGGAGGTCTCAGGGCAGCAAGCGGCAGGAAGGTCACCCACGCAGATGTCTGGGGAGGGTCCCGGGGGCAAGGGCCTTGGGGGAGCGCCGGGCCCCGCAGGAGCCGTGTGGCTGGCAGGGGGGACGAGGGCACAGGGTCTCGCTGGCCGGCTGCGGGGACCGCGGGATGACGGGACAAGGGTGGACACGGGGAGGCCGTCGGGAGGCAGTCCAGCACAGGCCAGAAGTGGCAGCTTGGAGCAGAGCGGTGATGCGAAGACGCTGAGCAGAGGTGGGGGTCAGGGGGTATTTTCAAGGGGAGCCAGCTGTTCGGGGTGACCTGCAGATCTGTGAGCTGCAGGGAACTCAAAGCTTGGAGGTTTACCCAGAACACACAGGCTCAGAGCTTGGCTGTGATGGCCGGATGTCCAGAATTCACTTTAAAATATATATTTATATTTCATTTATTGAGGGAGTGAGAGAGCACAAGCAGGGGGAGCAGCAGGCTCCCCACTGGGCAGGCCGCCTGACGTGGGGGCTGGACCCCAGAACCCCGAGATCATGACCGGAGCCGAAGGCAGATGCTGAACTGAGCCCCCCCAGGCGCCCCCAGGATTCGCTTTTGAAAGAAGGAGCTTCACAAGTGCCCGGCGACACATGACTGGGTCAGGTTGTGTTGTGTCTATTACAGTGGGACGTTTCTCAGCCATAAAAAAGAATGAAATCTTGCCATTGACCACGACACGGATGGAGCTCGGGAGTGTTAGACTCAACAAGGTAAGTCAGACAAGGAGACGCCTGGGGCACTCGGCAGCGGTGAAAGCGTCTGCCTTCGGCGGGGCGCGATCCCGGGTCCCAGGATCGAGTCCCGCGTTGGGCTCCCTGCAGGGAGCCTGCTTCCCCCTCTGCCTGGGTCTCAGCCTCTCTCTCTGTGTCTCAGTGTCTCGTGAATAAATTAAATTTAAAAAAAACAGAAGTCAGGATGCCCACCTGCCTGCGAGGGGCGTGGCTGGTGCCCCTGCAGGATGCCTTGCCCTTTAGTGTAGGAGCAATGGTGGTTGTTCAGATCGTGATGCTTAGTAATATCAGAATTAAATACAAAGTCACTGTCTCGTGCTACTAATCCGGTTGGAGAACTTGATTATCCCTGCGACTGTCCCCGCGCGGCGGGTCCCACAGAAATGTGCAGGCGTGCCCCCACCACCCCGACGCCGCCCTCACCCCTGCCCGGGCCACCTGACCCTGCAGGATGCCCTGGGGTCCTGACCAGTGAAGAGCAGGAGGCAGCGCTGAAAGCCTGGAGCCCCAGACACTTTGTGCCCGACGGGAGGGCTCCCTGACAGGCGGGGGGAGCCTGAGGGTCTCAAGCTCCGACTGCAGCCCAGCGGCCCTGCTGGAGCAAAACCAGCTGGGATGGGCTGAATGGACACCAGTGCAGACGGCCGTGCCCTCGCTGCCCCCCAGGAGGGACGTCGGGGACTGCTTGCCTCCTGCCACTGAGCCCGTTAGAATGGCACAGGTCACCGTGTGATGACACACACACAGTAAAATGCGCCTTCCTCACCTTTTCCAAGCATACAGCTCGGCGGCATTAAGTGCACCCACCTTGTCGCGCAGCCACCGCCACCGTCCACCCCAGAACTCATCATCTCCCCGACCGACACTCTGCTCCCCTTAAATGCTGACTCCCCATCCCTCCTCCCCCCCGCAGTCCCCATTCTACTTTCCTTCCGCTCAGAGAAGCGGAAAGAACATCACATGTGTGGAAGAGAATTTCCTCGACTGAGCGCCTGCAAGCGGGAGACAAGCCCGCCTGTTGGAATTTATCCAGGTGGCAGGTGGAGGTGAGCCAGGCCCTGAGGGAGGGGTTCCAGATGTCAGGCCCCTGTGCCTGAGGACGCAGCTAGCTGTCTGCCCCCGTGCCAGAGAGGCAGGGCACAGGAATGGCCAAGGGCCCAGTGTGCAAAGCCTCCTGGGCCTAGTGAATGACCTTGTGTCTCAGTGTCCCCATCCCTAAGAGCCGGATAAGAATAATGACCAGCCCGTGGGATTGCCACGCGGGCTACAAGAGCGGATACCACCGGGGGCTTGGAACAGGCCCTGCGGCCCAGTGAGCAGGCCGGAAAGTGCGGGTGTCCCCTTAGTGCTGCCTCGCCTTCTCCAGTTTGACTGAAGGAAGAGGAAAGGCCCCAGACAGAGTCCTGGGGGGCCCCACCTGCCCCTGGGCCACCCCACTCTGCTTCCCCAGGGCCGGAGGATCAGGAGGGGGGACCGGGTCCAACGGGGAAATGTTCCCCACGTGCAGGAGGGGCCAGAGCAGCCCCGGCCACAGGCCCCACGGGGGGGCCCAGCTCCCCACCCTGCACCCCCCCGGCGTGCCACACACCTGCCCCCCACTCGCTGGGAGGGAGCCCCCTGGAGCCACCCCTTACCAGCCAGTCCTTAGGGACGCCAGGCCTGTCCCCCCAGGGGACCTGGGGGAGCGGAGGGCAGGCCCAGCTACCGGCCCGCCGCCTGCTCCCCGCCCGGAGTCGGCCTCCGCGGGCAGCAGGGGCCCCAGGGGCCCAGCGCATCCCCAAGGACGCATCCCCGCCCGGGCCCAGGCCGCTCCCCGGAAGGCGGCCCTGACGGCTGAGGGCGCCCTCCGGACAGAGGAACCGGCCGGGTCCGGCTGCCGCGCCCTCCCTGCCGCCCGGCTCCGCTCGGCGGCCTCCAGCCGGGCTGTCAGGGCAGGAATGCGGGCCACAGCGCTGCCCCCCAGCCCGCCCGCGGCTTTGGACCTGGGCAGCCCGCCCAGGGGCCTTATTTTATTTTTTTAAGATTTTGTTTATTTATTCATGAGAGACACACAGAGAGAGGCAGAGACACAGGCAGAGGGAGACATGGGACTCGAACCCAGGACCCGGGGATCATGATCTGAGGCTGAAAGCAGCCGCTCGACCGCTGAGCCACGCAGGCGTCCCACCGAGGGGGCTTTTAAATCCAAGTGATACCTGGAGGCACCCGGGGGGCTCAGCGGTTGGGCGTCTGCCTTTGGCCCAGGGCGTGAACCTGAGTCCTGGGATCGAGTCCCGCGTCGGGCTCCCTGCATGGAGCTTGCTTCTCCTTCTCCCTCTGGCTGTGTCTCTACCTCTCTTTCTCTCTCTGTGTCTCTTATAAATAATCTTAAAAAAATAAAAAAAATAATAAATCCAAGTGATACC